GCCATTATAAGTTCTACAGTAGAACCTCCACATTAAGGGCACCCTTCCAAATGCCCTCTATAACAAGGTGCCCTTAACATCAAAAATGAGCCATGCAAAGCTGGATTCCATATTGATCTTACTAAATTTCTGAATTTTAAGGCCACTCCATTTTGTTTGGTGTATGCAGGACACTGATGTTCAGATGTTGGTGAGTTGCACGTTGTCATGACATGGAGCTGTCAACAGGAGGTCTAAGAAGGTGGATTAGCTGTGCTCTTTTTCTTTATTATTAGTCACAAAGTTTCAAAGTACTTCTCTTCAGAGTTTGAACTGTTAAACATTTCACACATATTTTCAGTGTTTATTTTACTGTCAACCACTGAAGTAGAAATCCTCTGAAAATAAAGCAACAAGTCACCGCTTGTGTCATTAGACTGTTTACGCGATACTCTCGAGAGAAACAAAGCACGAGCACAAAAATAAACCGACTTGACTCCTGCTCCGAGAACACAATGTGGAATTTATCAGCTTATGTATTCTACAGTGTTTATAACGAGAATTCCCTAGAGTAATAAGATTGCACCTTGAATCTGTGAAAACTTTTATTACATTGGTCATCCTTCTGGGATGTTTGGAATTTAGTGATATACGGTACAGGCATATAAATATAACTGCCCGCTTTATCGAGTTCCTTTATAGAGAACTATACTAAAGATACTGACTTTAATCCGGAATATCGAGGTGCCTGTTATTGGAAGATTTATTTTGGTTACAAATAGTAGGAAAAAGAAACAGACTGAAAAGGTCTGTCCTTAATGGCGCCATGATCGTTAATCAAGATTCGACTGTATATGATTACCCTAGTTTAATATGCATTGAATTATTGGCATGGGTTAGCCCTGTGGTCTAACTCTGGATTTCAGAGGAGTTGGCGAGTTGGATTCGAAGTCATTTGATACCACAAAATATTCCCGGCACATTTATTATAGGTGCGTTATAAGAGTGACAATCAATTCCTTATCCTGAATGGTGAGTTAGGTTACTGTTGACTGGCTACCTTTCTTCTGATCAGAAGTTCAAAATAAGAGACTGCAGCAGACAGCCTTCGTAGCTTTGGCATAAATCAAAAAATACTGGATTAAAAAATAACATGTCAGCAGTTACTGTCAGAACAATTATAAGAACTATTGATGGAGAATAAACAAACTAGTCTGGGTTTAGTTTCAGATATAAAAAATCAAAGACTGTAATAAAGCGAATTGGGACTTATTAGATTACTAACTCTTCAAGTTCGATGTGAGTTTTAACTTCGAAACTTTCAACGGCTGATTCACTTATTTTATAAAAATCTTGCACTGGTGTCAAAAAATCACGTGGTCTATAGTTTACTCAGCCATATTGGAGTCGGATGTTTACATTCGTCTTAGGTGAAATTCTCTAATTCTGTAAATCCCCTCAGTGACCTGCATAAAGAAAGATATATCGAGAAACTGATCGTTGGTAGAGTTTTGGATCCTTGTCTTTTGCCAAGGGCGAAGTTTATGTCATTGATAGCATGTAAAGCTTTACCGAGCCTTATGTTGATATGGATTACTATTGATTACTAGAAAGGAATGTTTGACGTCCAATATGGGAGTGTTGAAGGAAACAATAAGTTTTGTGACGTCAAGTGCAAGACCTCTATCGACCACTACTTGCATTAGTAAGAATTTGCTCAATGTTTTCAATTAATGGGATCAATCAAAAAGCATTTTTTCTTAATTATGCTACTATTATTGTGTGAATTTTATTCGCAAATTGGTAACCAACTGCATACATTTGTTCAGCATATGACAACAATTGGTTAGTTTAACGTTTAAGATATTAGGATAAAACAATTATATGTAATTATGCATTCCATTTTAGTAATAGTACTAAAATAATTTTGCCTATTTTTGTTTTCAGGGAGTAGTTGAAGTGGAGAAAGAATTGGGAGGGAAGTTATTAGACGCTCCTAAGTCTATGTGGTTCCAGGACGGAGGATCTAACCTTTGTCTCTGTCTGGAAGATATAGGTCCTGGTTGGAAGTGTAAACCTGGTGCTAATTATCAGGTGTGTAAATATATGTTTAACTAAAACATTTTTTAACAAATCAGACTACTGTGTATTTGTGTAGTGGGTTTTGAATAAGTCATATATATATATATTTCATTATAAATTAACTCGTTCGTAGTAGTTTTTACTTTTAATAATTTTGTATGTTACTGTTTAATGTTTGTAAATACCAGTCTTATTTTATGAAAAAGCTGATGGATACATTTTGTTCACATATAGGAAATCCCATTTCAACATGTATGGAGCGGCAGACTGAACCAACTCCATTGTTCCTTCACTTTAAAACATCTTGATCGTTCAATTCAAACAATTCACTATCATATTTTAGTTTATCAACGAGGAGTTCAAGCACATCGTCAATTGCTCCAGATTAATACAGATCTTCGTGGCGTAAGCTTATTCAGTATTATTAAGTCTTAATTGAATAGTTAGTTATCACCTCATCTACGACCGCTTCACATTCATAAACTTGTACACAGAGTTAATAAATTTGGGCACTTAAAGGAATAATGAGGTTTCGAAATATAACAATACATACACATTTCTTTATAAAATTTTTATTTATTTATAACTATCAAAGTACCCATCGTTGCTTGGATGAAAATGGCTTTAAATATTCTGAGTTGTTTTGATTAAATCAACCATATTAAGCGTAATTTTTTGCAAAAAAAATCAAAATGATTTCTTTATCTAACTAAATATTTTAATTAAAATCAATAAAAATAACAATTTGCGAAAAAAAATACAAATTTGCTAAAGCTATTTTAATCAAAGCAAAACCGGGTAAATTGCTCCTGCTTCTTGTATGTGCTTTGCATGACATTTAATGTTTCCAATACAAAATTCCCTACCTTTTGCTGTCCTGATTTCTGCTGTTTGGTCAAGTGTTGTTTGTAGCGTGTTCTGATTTTATTATCGTTCCATTCAATGAAGAACTGATTTATTCTCTTCTCGTTGCAACACAACGTAAGGGAAAATTTGCCGATACCAAACGTTTTTGCAAAGTCATTGTATAGCTGATTATTGCGAGTACACGCAAGTAAAGCAAAATATATGGCTCAAGAAAGCCTATTTTGTTGAAGAAGTGTGTACGCATGTTCGAGAGAAAGCAGCAGCCTTTTTCAGTTGAGTGAAGTTAGAGAATAGGAATTTATGTGTAGAAAAAAGAGGGGGAAGAGCAAAGATAGAATGAGTAGAGAAGCAAATAAAGGCTCCATTCTTAAATCGTTTTAACACCTAATTGATCATGAATAGAATGATTAGGAGAAGTCCTCACACAAAGAAGAAATGTAAATAATAACCCTGTTGATCACATTGCCAAAAAATCCGGCCATTTCAATTTGGGACCAATTGGTCGTCCTTTTTTATTAACAATTGCTATATTGGTCACTTTGGCCTCAAAACGGCCTTTGAAGCAGCGACCATGTATCCCATGTTACTTCCTGCATAAAGTTGTATCTGTACCATATGTTTGGAGTTTGTAGCTTTAAAGATGTAGCCGTGCATAAGGAACAGACCTACAGAGAGAAAGAGAGAGAGACATTCGCGCTTATATATCTGGATCGTGTTTTAAAGGAAAATGAGACAACTTCCATTAAAATAATGAATCAAAATGGAGCAGTAGTCATAATATCAACTTGTAGACTATAATGAAATGATTAGTTTTGATTCTTATAAAATTGAGTTTGTTATAACGATTATATTTCTTTTATATACCGTCTGATGAAAAAAATCATGGCGCTTAAAACTAGAAAATATTATTATAAGTAACGATAGGAATTGAATTTTTAAGTAAATAACTAATAATTTTTTCTATAAGACCGTTTTCGGAAGTTTATTAAAATTAAGACAACCATTATTAGCTGATTATAATTCTATTAAATCTTGAAATACTCTTTCTTCGTATGTGGGTAAATTGAACAAACTGTGGTAGAATATACAGATATAAAATCTTTTTTCTTTTTTAATTCTACGATCGCTGGAAGAAATATCTTTAAAAATAGTTTAACCTTTGCGGAAATGAATATTTATTCATCCGTGTATCGTATCCTAAAAAAAAAGAACCCTTCTACTTAAATTTATGTTATGAATTCGAAATCATCGAGTTGGTTTAAATAGTTCAAAGCTACTCACACGCATTATAAAGTACATATAGAATTTTATTTCTGTAACCTGTTTTCAAATAAAAATGTATCTGGCTCCCTATTGATGTGTCGATTTGCAGTACCCGACAGGTAGCTTCTATCAATAAGGTGTTCAGGGGACAGAACTGTCATGAAAACACTCTATTACTATGATTGGCTCCGCTTTGGTGTTGCAAGGATCGTTTTCTGGCTATTTTATTTCAATCGTGGAACATTTTTAGTTTCGTTAGCCTCGAATTTCCACCATTGAACAAATGATTCTAAGTACTAGTAATATTTCGTCATAGAAAAATATTATCGATAGAGCTTCTTCTAATTTTTTTTAATTGATTTGCTACCTGAACGTTTTCTGTTCTTGACCTGGACATTCTTCTGTTCGTGTTGAAGAAGAATTTAGTCTGAGGAGATTTCAGAGTAGCTAGGGTTTCAGATGTCATGCATTTTTAAGCCGCTAATGTGGTATATTAAGAAAGATAATTACATTTTTACAGCTCATTGCAAATAAAGTACTAGATCGCAGCACAATATCTTTAAAGTGTATACAAGTCGCCTTTATAGTTTAAAGTTAAATTATTAGAATTTTCATCTAATTTTTTATTAGTACGATCATAACGTATAAATGTTCCGTATTTTTATACTCCCCCGAATGAATATAGAATAAATTTATACGTGGAGACGAGTGCGATTGTTTTACATTTAACTGAGGTCCACACTGATGGATTATAAAGGCCCATTAAGTAATTCAGAACCTGGAATATGTATTTAATACACATTCCTATTTGTGGTACCGGAGAAAGTAGAGGGATATCACAAGTAGTTCTGATACATTCTGATACATCTGCTGCCAGGCGTGGCTTATGGCTAGCTTGCCGGACAGTGAAATTGAGGGTCCATAGTTTACGTCCTGTAGCCGCAAAATCATGCCCCACACCTTGGGGTATTGGATGTGTTATAAGAGTGACTATAGAATTCCACTATTCAAATAGAATAGCCCAAAAGCTTGGCGGTGGGTACTGTTAACGAGTTGCTTTCCCTCTAGCATGTCAGTTCAAAATTAGGGACGGGTAGAACGTATAGTTCTTATGTACAAATTGTTAATATATCACATTAGCGGCTTAAAAATATTTTGCTACCGAAACTAGTCGGCTGTAACTAATAATAAATATTTTTACCTTTCATTGTGCTAAAAAAATGTCGTTTCCCGTGTTTTAAATTCTTAATAAAATACCACCTACTTATACTATACTTTCAATGCACAAAGTGTAATCCTATTTGATTAGGCGTGTAATTTCATAATCTGGATTTTTTATACCAAATTATAACTATTCTGATTATCTATAGTAAGGTGCATGATTGTTCTGTGTACTTTCTTCCAATTAATCTTCTGCGGACTTTGGAATGCATCATGTTATATAACAAGTGAAGCCGGAAACAAAATTTATGGAGCTTTGTGATATTTACAGCCTATTATATTTATTATGCAAGACGCCAGAATCAGTTCGTCAAAGTTACTGTTTTGCTTTTATTTAATATTTTATTATTTTAGAATAAATATGTTTTTACTTATTTACTAGCAAAATTATTACTTACAACTCCTTTTCGAGAGATATAAGCCTGACTGATAAAGTTAGGTGACTTAACTGACTCCCAATTATAAAGTTTATTCTTTTGTTCCTGCTCATAATTGGGAACTTATAAAATCAATAGAATTTTTTTAGATTTCATTGTTTCAAATATTGGGTTAATTCTGCATCTTTATCATTTACATAAGCTTCTATCAAGTAATTTTTCTTCCAGAGGATATCATCAGGTCCTGCTGTATCGATATCAGCCCCATTGATAAACTCCACAGTTAATACAGTGGGAGAAACGAGTTTGTTGTTTCCGGTTAACAGTTCTGCACAGGAATTCAGGTAACCATATCTTGTATAATATCAGTTAGGAAAACACTTGGTGGAATTCTGACGCTAATATGTATGTACTTACAGCTAGCATACAAAAATAAACTTTAGGGTAAATCTTTTCTAAATATGTACTTAAATGTAACAGTTTCGAAGTCAGAATCACAATGCAACTTTTGTTTTACTTCATATGTATTTTAAATGTTAAAAAAGTTGACCAGAATGTACTTCATTTGAATTATCAAACATCAAAGGGATTTCCTAAGCAACTTAAAAAATTATGCAAATTTAGATTAGAGATTATACATCCTGTACAACAATAAAGCGACTACAGTCACATAGATCCAGCTTTTACCTTTTTATGCCATTACTGAAATACTATACGACACCTTTCACTGCTATAAAAAAGTTAAGTACTTTCCGCTCATATTTAATGGGATGATAGCTTCTGAAGTGCTTAAGCATGTAACATTTCAACCCTAGATTGTATTCGATTTGGAAAGAGGATCTAAAACAACTAATGAATAAACACAGTTGATAAGGCGAATCACAATGAAGTTTGCTCATTTTCCTTGGATTTAATGATTAAAGTGTTTTGAACTGTTGTGTGTATAATAACTTAGACTATAATAAACATTTTGAATTAATAGAACTTAATATTGAATTTTTATATGTTTAGGATTTCACCAAAAATCTTGAAAAAGCTCTGCGCCTGTTTTGATCCTCCTAATAATAAAGGCAATGATTGGAGAAGGTTGGCCAAAGAATTAGGAGTAGACAGGTAAGACTTTATTGTTAGAGAAAGTGGCGTCAGGACACTTCCACTATAGCTGTAACGTACACTACTCACAAAAATTATAAGGTAATGAGGTTTGTTTAAAGTTATATATTTTCAGGTTATCTTTTTTTTTTTCTCAAATCTAGCATGCTTATTGTAAAGGATTACAATAACCCTACTTAGGGTTTGCAACTTTGTTCACTAATGATTCCATATTGTAATAGGCCTTTACGAGAAACGCCCCAAATTTTGCAAAACAAAAGGCTAAATTTTATTGATTAGGAAAGATGTTTACTGTTCAACGGTCAGGCTCCATGAGGCTTATCTCGGGCTCAGCATACCAGTTATAGCCCTTGTACTAACCCCAAGACATCGAACAACTCGGCTAGCATTTGCTCAAAAACATCTCACTTGTATCCTCCGTGTATCCTCAAGTGATCGACGTGTGAGGGTCTAAAGACGTGAAGATGAGCGATATTCGGCCTGTAAAGTTGTCCACCATGATTCTTTTTGGAGGTGGCTCAATAATGACCTAGGGTTCTATATGGTGGATGAGGATCTATGACAACAAGAATATACGTGGATGAAATCCTGCTACACGTTGTTCATCCTTTCGCTGGTGCTGTCGGAGAAGAGTTCGTGTAGCAGCAGAATAACGCCAGGATCACACAGCAGGTTTTCCAGGATGAAGGAACAGAGATACTGGACTGGCCTGCTAAGTCACTAGACCGCACTCCGATTGATCATGTGTGGGACTTGCTAAGGAGAGCTGTTAGAGACAGACAATCTGATCCTACGAATGTTCAGGAGCCCAGAGCTGCCGTCATCTAGGAATGAACTGTGCTGCCCCAACAACTCATCTGAAATATTGTCATTAGTATGGGAACAGAGAAATCTTAAACAATAGAGAACGACCTATTAGCTACTAAAGACTCATTTTGTTAAATTTGTTCATCTTAATAACATATATTTTCTTTGATACTTGTGCAGCCAAATATTGGCATCTTTCGTTAATTTTGTATTTTTGATGTTTGTAAATGAATTTTTCGACTTGCTTGTTTTGTTTACCTGTGATATTTGTAATAATCAAGTTTCGCCAATATTGAGCTTCTTTCAGTGTTTGATTTGTTTTCAAACTTCGAAAAAAACATATTAGAAACTCATTACTCTTTTTTTTTGAGTAGTTTATTAAATTTCATAATTACATCAATAAAATTTTAATAAACAAATCATGAAAAATGTTTAAATCTTTAATTAAGTAAACAAATGAAATATATCACTTCATTCTCATAGTTAAGATGTTGACGTTGGTTTGTTGTTAAACGCAAAGCTACACTATAGGCTACCTGTGCTGTGCCCACCGCAAGTATCAAAACCTGTTTTTATCCTTTTAAGCCCTCAAACTTACAGCTGAGTCATCGGTAGGCTAAGACGTTTTCTTTGTTCGTTAGTTTATTATTATTTTGTTGTCCTGTTACTTTTCTGCTTTAAACCAGTGATTCTGAACGTGGGGTGCACGCCCCACAGGGGAGGGGCATTTGAATATATTGGGGGACAATTTGAAAACGCTACAATAAGAAACATTTTTCATTTGGGTGTGAATTTTTCTAAATTTTACATTATAGTATTATACCTTTTCAACACCAAATTTGTTTTTATATTAAGGGGCATCAAATTTTTGAGGTGTCGGGGTGGGGTCATGGAGCAAAAAAGGTTGAGAACCACTGCTTTAAACGATTTACCAGATTTTTCCTTTTTAAATTTGGGTTGCTTAATCGAGAAATTTATAAACTGATCTTATCGAAACCTTAAAATACAAAAAACACGAAACTAGTTTAATAAGTAAAGTATTGCACATTCTAGCTGTGTTTTAAGAAAATACAATGGGAACATTTTCTGAATTTGATCATTTATTCTACCAATACTTAGTCCTTTTTATCTGCTTTAAACAAATTATAAGATTTTACTTATCTTCCAGCTTTCTTATGATATCGGTATTTCGTTTGAAGTTAAGCATAAAGCTACACAATGGGATATCTATGTTCTGCCTACCACGGGTATCGAAACCCGGTTTTTAGCGTTGTAAGTCCGCAGACATACCGCTTTGGGGCTAATCATTCTTCTCTTAAAAAATAAGTTTCTAATAACTGAAAATATTATTTTTTTATTCTCGCATTATTGCAGAGAAACTTCGTTTTACTGTAAATTAGTCGTGAAAATACGCGCAAAACAAAATATAGACACCTTGTTTTGAACGACAATTTACACGTTCTTGTCAAATTTCGAGTAAATCTATGCAGCTAATTTTGAGATCCTCCAAGGCCTCTTGATCCCCCGTTAGAAGATCCAGTACTAAAATTCCAAAAATCTAAACACAGATACTAAATTTGAAGAATCCCTTACATGTACATACCATTTTTTAAATATTAGTGTAGACAATCTTGAGAGCTTCATAAACTCCTTTGATCCACATTTTAGAACCCAGTATTAAAAGTTACCAAAGTCTAAGTATAGATCTGAATTTAGATTTTTTATCAGCTCCTGAAAGATTAATATAAATTTTTAAGTAAATCGGTTTACTCAAACCCAAGAGCTCCAACACTCTTTGATCCCGATTTTTGTGTTGCCTCACAGATCTTTCTAAGTTTTTTTCTGTGGGGTTTCAAGAGTTAATAGTATACAAAATTTCGCATTGTTTTGTCAAACGTTTGGTGACATTTTAAATATCTACAAGACGTCAAATACGGTTGAATATTACGATATGTATATATAAATCACTTTATAATAGTTATTACAATATCTGCTGTAGCTAAAATGCTAGCAACTTGGACTGTGAATTTTTTGTTGTTGTTGTTTAAAAACTTTCATGTGACTTTTTACAGCTTTTATTCTTCTCCAGCTAACACTTAGTTTCTATTTACGTGAGTTTTAAGATTATGTATATCTAAGCAACCAAACTAGTATATGGTTTTTGTTTGTTTATTTATTTATTTTACAGGTATTTGAATTACTTTGCAACTAAAGCAAGCCCAACTGAACACATCCTTGATCTCTGGGAAGCCAAGCACCCAGAATCCACAGCATTAACCGATCTTCTAAACTCGTGTAGAGTTATGGGGCGTTATGATGCTTCAGTAGTCATAGAAGAAGAAGCTGGACCATGGCTTTGAAAAAAAAGAAAGAAATTATAACAATTGTTAAGATTTATACTGCTACTTTCAATTAATATTGAAGGACCTGCATGTAGTTAGCTAAACAATGGAACATAGGGAGAAAGTAAACAAACTAATGGACCGTGATGTTGACTAACAACACAGTATGGTGCCTCATTTATTTGCCCTAAACTTTATCTATAGAGGTCAAAACTATGCAGACTTCTGTGCCAAGAAACACAAAATATGTAGGACAGTTCTGCGTGTATTTGTCATAATTGTGGATAACAATAGCTTTTCTTTTTCATTTGTTGTTGTATATAGTGTAAAGTAATTGTAAATGAAGACATATAAATATATACTGTGCCTATACTAACATTATTTCAATGCAAGTTTATATTTTAAATAAACATAATTACAATTTGTTTAATAAAAAAGGAAAAATCAAATGAACATCAATTTTTTTTTACATTTTATTTTGCTTGAAATCACATACAGTTTTTTTTCCAGGATAGAAAATATCTGACTAAGATTTTTTGATAAGACCAACTTGTACAGTGTATTTCATATGTTTTATACTTGTAATTACAGTTTCCAGATCATTCTAGATAAAACTCTTCTACATACTTTGTTACTAATAACTTAAGATGGGGAACCAAAATATACTGGAAATATGTAATTAACAATGGTTAATCTGTTAACACCTGAAAAACCTGGATGGTACTTGTATTAAATAATTTTCTTTAATGAGATATAAAAGATGTATAGAATAACAACAACACAAAAGTAGAAGTAGATAAGTGATTTTTCATAAAGATTCAATATACCTCGCGTTTGACTAATCTTGACTGAAATGATTAGGCTAGACATAAGGATCACTCTTTATAAAATGTTTTTTATTGTGTTTTTTTTAATCAAGAGAGAAAATAGTTGCTCACAATATTTGTATAGTGTTGCCTTTTAGAATTTTAAATATAAAACAATTGGAGAAACTTTATGGTGAAATGTCTTGTATTTCCAAGTGCAGTCACAGAGTTTACATCACAAGATAAGCATCAGGTTTCACGTACGGAGGATGTTTAATTTCACGAAATAAAATATAAAAAAATGTATGCGTCACTAATGTACATATATTTTATATGTATTTTACTCTATCATACGCACCGGATTTTTATGGATGTAATCTTAAGAAGGTACTAATTATTACACTGTCAACTGTTGCAAGAAGTAACATCTATGTTACTGATGCAACTCACACTAGACTGCAAATTATTGTCATTTTTAACGGTTTATAATAGTAGTGTGTTAATTTAATTTTTTTCTGGAACACGGTGTGTCTCAGATATTTTTGTTCAACGCCAAACTCATCGGCTGGACTGGGCATGATGACAGATAAGTCTATCTAAAATATTATATGCAGTACAAAGTATTTATTATTTTAATTTAACGTTACAGTTTTAAACGTCAAAACCCGTCGAGGAAACCAAAACCAACAGACCCAATATTAATGATAAAAATCGCTCTGCACTGTAGTCTAACGAATAATGTTTCTTATCATTAAAATTAGGTCTACTGTTTCACTTTCTTTCGACGAAAACTATCATAAAATAGTCTTGTAACATTTCAAAAAAAGAACTAATCAGGTAACTTAAAAACCAGAAAACGGCCGTGTGAAATTTCACAATGAAAAAAAGAATAAAAGTATTTTGACAGAAGAGGACACGGATAAAAAAACAACAACAACATTCAGAAAAATTGAAGAATATCCAGTTTTATCCTTTGATAACACTTATTTCAGAAATTTTGCGCAAACCTAGACAAAAAGGTAACTATCTGCACAGAGCCTACTCTCATCTGATCCAATAGTGGGATTTGAATTTCGATCTTATAGCGCACCTATAGCCAAAGTTGGACACGAAACATTCATCCTCAGATTTTCAGTCATGACACGCTGATCACTAAGTTACGCCTGACTCTTGATGATGCTACTGATGTGGATATTCGTGACTGCGATAGTCATCTCCTCACGTACGTATTTTTCTTCTTAATGATAAAGCCAAGTAGTTAATGACCAAAACTCGAGCAATTTTTGACCTCAGCATGATGACAATACAATTAACACTATTTTACTATAATGGATGTAGCGTATATATATATATATACACATAACCAAAACTCCTGGGAATTGTAATGCCATCTACTGAATGACACCATAAATAAAAATCTATAAAAAATGTCATACTTTGGGTATTCATGTTTCAGTTAATTCGAAAAATAACTACGGTATGTATGACAACCACTTCTTTATCACAGAACACAATTTTAAATAAAAGTACTCTATTCATAACAAGGACACGACTTTCACTAAAATTGTACATAAGAGTTTGATTATATATATTCATCTAATCAAAAACACCTTAGGTGTGGCCAAATAAGAATGAAATCAAAATTGGCAGCCAAACTGGTAGCTACATGTACTACATTGATAAAAAGTTTACAGCAAACATTCATTCATTAGTTAGCCCGACCGCGATTTTTGTTCAAGTTGGGGCATGATGGTGGATAAAACAAAATACGCGGCCTAGCTAACTAATGAATGAATATTTTCTGTAAAATTATTATCAATGCTATAAGTGTAGTTACCAATTTTGATTTCATTCCTTTAAGTCGCACCCTCAATCCATTTTTTAGCCACACCTTAGGTGATTTTTTTTAGATATCATGACTTTTTGTCAATACACACCAACAAACCACAGCAAGTAAGAAAGTGACACCAACATAGTAACCAACATTAGCTTTAGGATCGTAACCCAATTTTTTGGAAGAGACCTGTACTTTACAGAACCAACCACTTTCTTTAAAATATATGGTGATAGTTTTCCTCTCTAAAACAGTGTTAAAAACTTCCTTTATAGTAACGACATGGAATCTAAATTAATAGTTTCTTGTCATCACCCGTACAGTTGTATAAAGCATTATTTACGCTAATTGCTTAAGCTAATATCACGTGATGCTAAATGCACGTTAATTAGGAGAATTTCATAAAATATTTAGCAAATTTGTGTTTAATAATTGACAATGAATAACCGTTCACCCTAGTTTGCTTGGCTTAACCAATACTTATGTATCTGCACGTCTTTCCACCCTATAGTTTTTGTTAAATAACTCTGCACATGTAACTTATATTTAGACTACATTTGACACCTAATTGTAGGTTTTAAGAAAATCCATAAAAGTTTAGTATTTTTTTCTATCAAATACATTTTCTGTACCTTTGGTGTGAAGAAAAAAAAGGAAAATTCAATCAAAATTGTATATTTGGTATGTGAAGGTTCCCATACAGCATATCCACTGAAAATGTGATATAGTTTGGATTACCAGTCCTTGCCACAGAAAGTGAAAAATTGCTATCAATAAGTGTCCTGCACTGCAGCAGGTTGTTTTGACTACAACATGTCTTGATTGATGTAAGTTTTAAATATAGTAATAAATACTGGAGTTCTTAAAAAAACTGGGATTTTTTCAATAAAGGGTAGCACTTTTAATATATAAAAAATATTAGTTTATATAATCACAATCCGAACACTTTTCCTGTGCAGTACTTCCCAGAAAAATACTTTTTTTTAGAAAATGTTCACTTTTTACCACATTTTTTCAATGAGGTATGAATACTACGATAAGTAATTACTAGAATAAACAGCCGCCCGTAATAGTCGATCAGTCTCTAAAGCCATCCATGCAGTGTGCTGATGCTAGTGGTATGGCAAATAGGGTTTTAGATCGTATCTACAGAAATACTGAATTTAGATCTAAAAAGGTTATCATTTCATTGTACAAGTCACTGGTTAGGCCACATTTGGAATAGTATGTTCAGTCTTGGGTTCCTTACCTTAGGAAAAACATTGATTTGTTGGAAATGGTTACTAGAATGGTGCCTGGGATGGAGGGGTTGTCATACAAGAGGTTGAATTCTCTCAAACTGTTTTCTCTGGAAAAAAAGAATAGTTAGGGGGGACTGATTGAGGTGTTTAATATTGTAAACGGAATTGATAGCGTTAGTGCATCATCATTTTTCATACTTAACAGTGAAAATAGAACAAGGGGACACAAATATACATTTTGGCAGGGGTAGGAGTCATCTTCAGCTAAGACAGTTGTATTTTTCTAATAGGGTGGTTGGCCTTTGGAATGGGTTGCCTTCAGGTGTTGTGGAGGCAGTAAATTTAAGAGAAAGCTTTATAAGTATATGAATGATAAGAACTGGCTTTAAGATTTTTCTTAACATTTATTCATTCAGTTTTAGTTCAGTGGATGGAACAGCCAAGATGGACCAATAGGTCCCAAAACGTTATGTTAATAATGCAACTTATCAGTTTAATACTGCCAAATAACATGAACAAAACAATTACTTTCACCACAAATAATAGGAGTCTTAGATTAAGATTCGATGACAACTAAACCAATACTCGTTATTATCGGTATGATGTACTTAAAAAAAACATTTATGGATGGCATATTTGGTTATCATTTTGTAATAGTAATTAAGTTAAATGGCGTTTCTAAAACTTTCTTTTATTTCACTTAGAATCCGTATGTCAGGTTTACTTGAACATCAACCTAGAATCAGACAGTATGCAGTTATTATGCTGTGTATGCTTTTCACAATCCGGTGAAAAATAATTACAATTTTACTTGTCAGAAGGCAAGTCTTATAAAGTTGTAATCATTCTTCGTGGGTTAGTACAAGGTAACAATTATTTATGTATCAAATGACTGTTTGTTGTATCCCAGCAGGCCTGAAGAGCTCTTGATAAAGCGAAATGCGTCGTAGGCAGTGGATATGACAAAAATAGTATGGTTCAATACCGTTATTGTACACTCTTCTAATTCTTGAAAATACCTAATGGACTAGATGAAGAATGTTGTGTTTATAAACGAAATAGGCCTAATTCTAATGTCTTATTACAAGTAAAATTGCAATATGCAAGTATCGCTATAAACGATTTTGTCTCCTAAGGCAGAGCTACGCAATGGATTATTTGCACACGGCACAAAAAAAAGGAATCGAACCCCAGCTTTTTGGCGTTGCAAGTCCCTAAGTTACTGCTAACCCACCAGAAGACTACTACATACTGAAAAGAATACGAACTTTTTCTGATAGGTTTGCACTTCTCCACAAAAACGATTATTTAAAACATAGCAAACAACTGCTGTACATTACATCATCATTCTGAATAAACATGATAAATACATCAAAGTTGTAAAGAAAGTTATCCATGCTAAAATTAGTTCGAATAATTAAGAATCCAACAGAGGTACCATAGATGTAGTAATATAATTCAATTATAAACAGATTGTTCAGACAAAACACAATATTTTATGTTCCATGTAAGTGAAAAAGAAAAAAAAATGGATGATGATCTGGAAAAATAGTCACTCACAAGATTTACTCAAATTTTAGGGTGAAAATAACCTAGAAGGATAGAGGAACACGTTACCATTGGCAATCAAATTTTGAGCTACTGACCAAAAAAAAAGATAGCCAGTAAGCAGCATCTTACCACCCACTATTTATGTTGAAGTATTGTTATTCTTTTATAACACAATCACAGTTGCAAAGGATATTTTGTGGTATTACACAAGTTCGAAACCAGATATTTCAAAACTTAACTGTTGGATTACCGTACCTGAACACTATTTCTTAAAATATATTTTAAATTCAGTACAGAGCGTATTTAATGTTTGATTAGCTTGGTGATTATGAACAGTTTTCAGTTCGGTAAATGATGGGAAATGATATAAAGCAAGCACTAGATAATTACTGGGTTTTTCAACTGTGCTACATATTATTTTAAGTGTGATTTAACATGGTATATAAACCACCTTGCAAAGCCAAACAACAGAAAACCAAAGTTAGCATTTCACTATGATATCACAACTTTGTGTATTTTTGCTCTTGCTTATTCCCTAACTTGACCATTTTTTTTACTCATTTTGTACTGATCCAGAAGTTACTAACATTAATTTGCAGGAACACAATATTCTTCAAGGAATACATTGGTAAAATTACATGAACATTTAGCTTGGATTATTTTGTTTTTTCAAACAAAGCAGCACAATCTAAACGAAGAATTAACTTGGGTAAAGTTCAAGTTCAAAATGATAAAATAAACAGCAACTTACAGTAACCTTGTTTATGTAGTATTTTCTTTAAAAAAAACACACATGAAGTTCAAAAAATAAACAATTTTCTAATCAAATTTATTTTTAAATTACACAGTGAATATTACTTAATATCACACAACTTGAACTGACTGAATGATAGTGATTTATGAAATCTTAAGTCACATTTGCTTTTTCATTCATTAGTCTAGCAAGAATTAAGGAGGTGTAAAATTACTTTAAGCTGCTAAGTTACATTTAAAACAACAAAGATAACTGTTCAACATCATATAATTTATCAAAGACAAATTTTAAAAGTGATATAGTTGATAAACATTCACTACAAATATCTCTGCAGTTCAAATGAATTGTTTTGATATATGTAAAATGGATATTCTGTAAACTTTATTTTTTGTCTAAGTAATTTTAAAGACAATTCTTTTTAGATGCTACAGGAAGTATAACTTTTAATGGCAATTTATGGGTCAATTTGCTAAGCCTATATACATCAAACCACTTAGTTACTTGTTTGTTTTTGAATTTCGCGCAAAGCTACACGAGGGCTATCTGCGCTAGCGTCTCTAATTTAGCAGTGTAAGACTAGAGGGAAGGCAGCTAGTCATCACCACCCACCGCCAGCTTTTGGGCTACTCTTTTACTAACGAATAATGGGATTGACCGTCACATTATAATGCCCCCATGGCTGAAAGGGCAAGCATGTTTGGTGTGATGGGGATTCGAACCCGCGACCCGCAGATTGCGAGTCGAGTGCCTTAACCACCTGGCCCACTTAGTTACAGTTTCAATCATGATTTCCAATAATCATTGTGTAAAAATGGTAAGTTCTAAACATGAAACAGGATTAAGTAACCCAAAGGATTTATAACTGTCAATCCATAATACCTTTGATATTAAAAAAAAAAGCTTGAACAAAGTAACCAACTAAGAATCACTGAGCTAGAAATAAAAACAACCAACATATCTATATAACGTAAATATTAGTAGCTAACTCTACTCACAAAACACCTAACCATAGTCAAATCAAAAATAAACACACGTACACACAGTGGTTCAGCTCTTCATGTTTTATTTATTTAACTTTCAAAACATCTTGGAATTACACTCTCAATTTTAACCAAAGGTTTTTCTTAACGTGAAGCAATTGACACTTGCCAAACGCGAATCAAGTTATCTGTATAACCAGCAAAGAGTGTTTGACCATCAGCAGACCATGCCATAGAAATACACTGAGGAGGCTCTGCTTTGGAGCTTGTTGTGATCACTTCAGGTCGCAGTTCATCTACCATGTTCTTACCTTCCAGATCCTGCAATTAGAGACCAGTTTTAATTTAAAATGCAATTAATATAAATAACATTTGATTCTCACAAAATTTTCTTTCAGCCTTGTTAAACAAAACTTTTTTTTATATATATATTTCAATTAATGCACTAAGAATATGCCTTTAATTTATAGCAACTGAACTTTTTTTTAGAAAAATTTGCTAGATATCAAAACAAAACAAAGACTGTATGAAATATTTAAATGAAAATCAACAGTATTTCAACAACAAAAAAAACAAACTCTGTGGATGAAACAAGTACACATTAAAAGCACACTTTACATATTCAAAGGTTTTTATATTATTTGTATAATTGTGCTTATCAAATTTTTTATTTCAATTGAAAGAGCCAACTAAGGTTTAGTCATTGATATTGACTAACATTAGTTTTTAAATATAATGTTGTATTTGCATATAAATTAATGTAAAATCACAACATACATTTTGAATAAAACATGACAGAGTGAGAGTTAAGTTGACTGTAGAAACACAGCTTTCAAATAAAATCCTAAATTAATTGTTAGAGGAGATGGAACAAAAAACAGCTACAACAACCAATACACCTAACATCAACAACCAACACTTTGAGGTGGAACAAGAAACAGCTACAACAACCAATACACCTGACATCAACAAACAACACTTTGAGGTGGAACAAGAAACAGCTACAACAACCAATACACCTGACATCAACAAACAACACATATACTTGGAAACAATGGAATTTCATTTTTCACTTGAAAAACAAATTTGATATTTTGTCCACAATACAGCAAACATGTAAACTTTCACTGTGACAAGGGTACATTTCAATTTGTGGGATTTTTAAATGAATACAACAACAGAAATATCAAACAGCAAAAACTACAGATTATATCTGCCTCTAATACAAAAACTAAACTAAGACTAGCATTTAGTGCCACTGTGATTTATTAATTATGTTTTGATTGTTCATCTTGGAGTTTAAGTTTCACCATAACATGACCAGTAGTAATGACTTTCTTACTATACAAAATAGATATTATTTGGTGTAACTGGTACTAACAAACATATATAGAGTATTCATAATTTTCTAAAGTATTGCAGTGTCAAAAAAAGCTTAATTTTTTAACTTCTAGAAACATTTAGTGAATCAAAATTCTTAATAAAATAGCCCCCTTGCATTGGTAATTACTATATAAAATAACACCTTATCTAAATTGGTTAAGTATGTTGAAAACTGAAAGAAAGTTTGGGGATATTTGAAAAGAAAAAACTGCTACTAGTTGAGGCATCAGTCAAGTTACTGCAAGTTAGACAACACATTTATACCATTGGTACACTTTACTAGTAATTCATTTTATAGCTTTAACTGTACAGTAAACATACAAATTAATAGCTTTAGCCAACACTTGTATGTATCATTTAGTCAGGGATATTAATTTTTTCTAAGAAGCCATAATTAGCAACATATCAATTTTTGTTTTTTACGGAACCATCTTTATTATAATTTGTACCACAACAATCACAAAAATTATTACAAAATAAAAAGAATTGAACAGTTTTTTCTTCTTCTAACAACTAGCTCAATTAAGCAGTGCAGTATGTTCTGACTACTCTGACATCTTTGTAGGTGTATTTTAGATAGTATGTTTGCTTCCGAGTCAATATCAGTGGATGTCAATGACAGATCAGAGCAAAAACAAAAATTGATATGCAAATATTAAACCACTTGATATTAAGAAGTTAAAAAGAGTTAAATGCAATATCAAATCACTACTACTACTATACAATACTGTGATAAGGTTCCTACAATACAACACTTCCCACCTGTATTGGGTAAAAATTTTTTTTACCAAATTTATATGTGGATGGTACTTACATTCAAGCCAAATTCATAACTTATGGTAAATTTCATAAAAAGATTGCGAACTGAAGTAATTAAACTTAATGTAGTATGTAATATACCAGTCAAGAATAACCCTCATCATTGCAGGACTTGTTATCACTGGCAATCATAGTATCTAAAGTAATCATTGGGTATAACTTGAACTGGTCTATTTCTATAATTGTAAGATTCCTATAAGAACAATTTAAGGTCTTCTATACCAGTGGTTCCCAGACTTTTGGCAATCATGGACCAGTAAAATTCCAAAAAGAATTTCAGAGAAAAGGACTTAAGTAAATTTTAGTCATCAAATACTGAAAAGAAACGTAAATACGTGTCAGTGCTTTCAACAGCCAAAGCATGTTGCAGACAGATAGAAAGTTATTCAAGGACCAGTACTGGTCCGTGGACCGTCGTTTGGGAAACACTATTCTATACTGTTTTGTATAGTATCTTCTTATCCATCAATTAGAATTAAGCCTCTATATAGATAAGGATATATGAATATAAACAATCAGAATAGTAAAATAATAAAAAAAGGAAAGATGAGGAAGATTTACTACCAATTCACTAACAAAGAATTAAGCCTACTTTCGTTACAATGGTGCCATATTTAATAAACATTAGTTTATGAGTGCATTATAACCAAATTCATCATTCTTTGCTATTTTTAACACTACTACTACTAGTAAGATGTGTCAAAATTGGACAAAATATATAATTTGCATTCATACTGAACCACACAAAATAAAATATTTGGCCACTACGATAGGCTATTTCTAAAAGTTCTTTTACAACTAAAAACCATCTCCAGCAATATTGATACCATGGATACCCATCTCACCTTCAAAGACTTAAATTAGCCACCATATTTATGCATTTATTAACAACAGAACAACTTCAAACACCAATCTTTGCAAATAAAGACCAAACTTTCAACTTTTAGTCTAAATGAATGCTAGTGTGATAGAAATAGAGAAAGGCAGTTTGGCTTGTCAACTGAAATTCTAAAGCAATTGAATAGGCCTAAGTGTTTATGATTTGCCTACAATCTCCATAGTGCAAACAATTTGTTGTACATATGTTTAACTAGTTTGAATATATATAATTTAGAAAACAAGTGGAGTGTTTGCCGTTCATTTATTTTTGAATTTATCACTAACAAGTCACAGACACCTACTGCAGATGAATCCTAAGCCCAACAACATCACAGTATATTACTATACTTTTAAAAGTATTAGTAAAAGCCTTTAACTGACAATAAGCAAATATAACCTAACTTAGTTTTTGGCACACACACACACACCATCTATTATATTTGTGCATTTATTTTTTAAATATAACAAACTGAGATTCATTAGGATTCAAACCATTTCTCTCACTTGTCAAACTCTGACTGAATCAACTTTCATAAACTCTAAATTTTCACTTTGCTAGTGAATAAACAGAAATCAGTATAATATGAAAATTATTTGGAAAATACTAAGGGTTGAAAACATTGCCTTTTGTATCTTCCATATATATATTATGCTTAATACAAAAAATATCAGTGACAGTTAATTCTTTTGTATTTCTGTTAACAAATATTCTCTGCAGTAATGTAACAAAATTCTCTCTAAAAGAGTTGCTATACTCTAAGACCAACAGTTATTCCAAAGATTGCAATCAACATCTGTTACAAAAAAGACCAAACTTTCAACTTTTAGTCCAAATGAGTATTAAACAAATAAAAAAATTGCTGAATTATAATTTTTGGTGTGATATTTTTAATTATACCTGACTCATTTAAAAAGCAGTATCCTTTAAGCATCCTTAACCTTTTATCTGGACTTTAAAATATTGAAGTTCACCTAGAAAAATTTTAATTTCAAAATCAAACTTCTCATTAGTTTCAAAGTCAACACTATGATGCAAGCTCTAGTCAACTTCTAAATAAACTCTTAAAAACAGTCAATATTTATGCAAAGAAATTATTTTCAACAACTATCCAACATACCCAGATTTTGGTGCTGGGGCCAGTTGCCACACACAACCAGTATCTGTTTGGACTGAAACATAAGCTGTTGATGATGTCAGTATGGTCTAGGGTGTAGAGATGTTTTCCTTCATTTAGGTCCCACAACATAGCTTTACAGTCCTGTTATGAATAATCAGTCACATAAATTTCAAAATAAATTTAAATAATTTCTTACATATAGGAAGAGCAGGTTCCTTTTCTAATTCAGTATGATCCACAAAAGTGTTAAAGTAAAGTAACTATGGAACATGAAATGAAATTCAATTCATACTAGATATTTGAATTTTCTATACATATTTAAATTCTAAATTATGTAAAAAACAAAAGATTCTAGATATCTGGCAAAACTGAAGGTGTTTAAAAATATATTAAAACAAAAAGTCAACTTTGTATGTTAACGAATGCTTACCTCTGCTAAAAGAAACTAGCCTAAGTAATATGAAATGAATGTTGACACCTCAAATAATTCTTTTACCACACTTGGTAAAAATTAGTTGAAAATGACTAGTGTAGCTGACTACAAAACAATACTATCAAAATGGTAATACTATCATGATGTTTGTCTAACCTGTGATGATGGGATATGAAAACATATATCCACACATAAAAACAGCAGCATTTGGCTAAGAGAGCGGCTAATTCTCATAATTTAATATACATATTTAAGCACAAAGTTACATAATTGAGAATTTGTGCTCTGTCTACTGAAAATAATCAACCAGCTTATTTTAACATCACAAGTCTATAAACTTACTGCTGATCCACCTGGAGATCGTATGATACATAATGTTTACAATTCATTTATGATAAAACAAACATTAACACCTAAATTTTGATATATATATAGTACATGATTTTTTTTTTAATTTTCATGAAAGAAACCTAAATTATAAACTCAGCCATTAATGTTTTCAAAAAGCTACAAATATGGGGTATCAATTTATTTTGGAGATATGATTAGCAAGTACTACTATGGAAGCAAATCTCAGAGATGGCAATAATAATTCTAATAATAGTAATTTTGCTTTAGTAGCATCTACTTGCATGTCAATACATGAAATAAAATGTTTATGCATTGCTACTTAAATAGGACATTTTATAATAATAATAAAACAGCACAAAATATATTATACTGAATAATTGTTTCAGAATAATATTTTAATTTAACTGCACAAAATATTTTTTATAAACACTTGTGCTGTTACAGACTGATTACTAAGTAGATTAAACATTAAAATTTTGCACTTAAATAGATAACAAGCAACATGACAGTGTCAATTTATCACCAAATGGGATGAAATCAACAAAATTATCAACTCTTACTTCTGTGATGTAGGAGACTTTTACCTAACTACTTTGTCAAGAAAGAAAGATTAGTGAAATGCTTCTCTTACATGTAAATAAAAAAAATGTTGTAACTATCCTAATATTCATAAAAGAAAAAACTGAATTTACTACAGAAAACAAACAAATAATTAGCAGATAAGAGAGAGCTGAAGTTCCTTTTCAAGAAAGAATTTTAAATACTATATAGTAATTAACAATAAAGGCTAACCTCAAGATATGGTATCTTTTTTGTACCACACCTGTAAGGTTAATGGTATCAAAATATAACATTGTTGTTCCTGTTCAGCATTATAATGTAATTGTTATTCTTTTATTGTACATATATTATCTTGATGCTCTTACGTCTTGCTCTATGATGATATTTAATATTTCTACATACTTTACTTAACTATTTTGATACAACACTTATACATAAATACACCTAGCAACAGATAAAACTTTTTACGTGTTGTTGCATAAGTACTTGTATTTCACTTCTTGTGATGTCAACATGAAATATTTATAGATAATTGCAAAAATATATAAAAGATAATTATACTATCAGATTGTAAGAAAGGAAAGTTAAGTAAAACAAATATTCATTCATGCATTTATTTCCAAAATTTTAAAACATGTGTAGTATTATTAATTTATTATATACCTCATCATGTCAATTTTTTTGCTCATTTTTCTACATATATTTTGTTTCTATTAACCTTTACCAACAGGAGTCTACCTATGGTCATGGGTTAAAGGCCATGTCAACGTGTTTGTCGACTCACATTCAAAATTTTATTGAACTACTATTTTATGAATGTATGTCAATAAGTTTGGTATGAAATTTTAGTATTATATATTAGTTCATTTCTTAATTTAAAAGTAAATGTTAAAAAAATCCTAAATACCAATTTTTTGTGTGTCACGTGGTATGTTGAATGCAGCATTGGTTCAAATTATGTTTGTGATGTCCAAATACAAAGTTTATAGTTTCTTACAAATTAGATACTCAAATTACCAATATTGACAAGCTAGAATATAAGATAAGAACCTCCTATCTTTTAATTTTCTGAGATACTAATACATTTATTGAATCAACCAAGGTGGCCCACCCACTTCTTCCATTTTTGCTTACATATACCTCCTTCACCCAATGACATTTGCATAATCAATTGAAAGCTCAGAATGTCCCCCTAGAGCTTTTCTCAGCCTCTGCGAAGTATTTGCACGGGATACTCTTTTTTTTCATGCTAGATTCCAAGCAGTAAGGTAAGACATTAGAGTTTGGAAAATCATTTTTAAGACCCAAATACAGTTTAGTTACTAAGATTGATAAATTATAGTGGAATTCTGTGGTATTGATACAGTAATTTATGATTTTTTTGTTCTTTCAAAATGCATATATAAAACTTAAAAATTATTTTGTTTTGTTAATATCCTCCACATGTGATATTTCATAAGGTTTAGCAACTTACAGCAAATGAGTACAAAGTTCGTAACTAGAACAGATAATTCTTTTCTATACTTCTTTATTTACTGTTCTGTTTTAAGAAAAATAACTGAAATAACTGTATATACATATATATAATGTATCATAACTGAAATGTAACTATTTTATAAAATACTGGTCCACTAGAACACAGCCAAAACAGGTTACTTTGTAAAAGCTAGTTTTATATTCTTAGAAGTAACATGAGTGCATGTGCACTGCATCATTGCAGCTTCTATAACGTTAGTCAGGCATGGCTGAAACGTCAATAAAATAAAAATAATATATATATAGATGTATAATGTTATGAGATTTAAGCTATTTAGTCTAAACATTTGTGTTTTTGTTTTATAACCTGTAGTCATTCTAGAAAGAAAAAACATAACATATCTGTTTCCTAATTTTTTTTATGGTGGTTACAAGATCCATCAAACTGACCAAACCCTTAAAGAGATACAATAGTGGAAATAACAGATAAAAAGTTTTTTCTAAAAAAAAATGTTTGATTAATTATCTGAAGATTATAAAGATTTCACATCTTAAAATCAAAATTACTTTGCATGTTGGATAGTCAACATTTGAAAAGAAAAACATTATTTAAATATCTTACAACTTAAAAAAAAAAAATATTTTGTACAAAAGCCTTGTAATATTTACTGTATTAAAAGTTATAGCATGAAACTAACAAGCACAATGGCTACAAGGTCGGTCCCTGGGACTGAGCCCCTAGTGAAAGAGTTAAGTGAGAACCAAAAAATGTACTCACCTTACCACCTGAGGCACACAGTGAACCATCAGGAGAAACTGTCACAGTATTCAGGTAGCCAGTGTGACCAATGTGATTGGTCTTCAGTCGGCAGTTAGTCAGGTTCCACACCTTGGGAAAAAGAAAGCTTATATCACTACAACTACATAAAATGATTCCCTCTTGACATACAAGTATTAATATTACCCTCATTATTGCAGAACAAAGTCATCACATGCTAATCAAAAGCTAATACATGCTAATCATTAGGCAGTATTTAGCAAGTAAACTCAGTAGAGAAAAACTGTACATACAAACAACTCACCTTCACATACTTATCCCAGCCACAGGATACAATTATTGGATTGCTGTTGTTTGGAGAAAATCTCACACAAGACACCCAGTCACTATGGCCATCCTCCTGCAAAATTTAAATTTATTTGACATATGACATTCAACATAATCTTTAACAGTGACACTACTTATTGCATGTCCTAATCTAGCTTGTAAATGATACAGTTTAATGAACTTTTATAAAAGTACTTAGTATTATTGGAGTATTTTTACAAATATGCTTTTTTTCAAACTATAAGTTTAGAAGCCACATAACTAGGATCTCGATTTTAAAGAGAGTATTAAATACAAATTATCTGATAAATTGTTCCCACACTTGTTGTTAGAGATGGGCAATTTGCTCAATTACCTATGAACATTAATTATATTAATTTGTGTTACATTAAGCAATTGATTAATCAAAATTCTGATTAAATCAATTATTGTAACCAAAATTAGTGTTTCCAGTTATTACAAATAGCCAAGACTAATGTGAGAATAATTAACTAGTTGATGTAATCAGATAGTGAACCTGATGGTTAATTGCTTATCAGATTCCACTAATCATGTAGTGTGAGGGATGTGTATAAATGCCTATCAGAAGCAAAATAAGACCAAACGTAGAAAAGTATTTCAGTGAAGAGGCCAAGAATATGGTTTTAAGATTACTCTTTTTAGTAGGGCTTTAAAACAAATTAGGACTGTTAATTCAGGAGTTTCATTAAGAAAACAATATTTGTCGCATTTATAAAAAACAAGATCCAAAATGCATACTGAATTTTCTTTCAAAGGCACAGAAATGTTTACAAGATGATCAATATGTTTTACTGAGAAATTTTGTCCATAAATACTCATTTATACAGTCATGCCAGTCTGTTTTCTTCATGTCTTGGAGCACCCAACATATATTGAAGGATGATTTGATAACACTTGTTCACATTATTTGCCTTTTCCCTCTATTTCTAGCTGAACAATGGATGGATCATACTGAACCTGTCCTTTTTCTTTTAATTTTGTGACAAGTCAAAACTAGGAATCTTACTTACATAAAGTATGTCTCACAGTGTGCACTAGAAACAGCCTAGAATATGTTAAATTACATTGTTAATAAAAAACAGTCTTTGGCCCCTGCTGAAATGAAACTGCTAAACTTTACTTGCTGCCAGGTGATAATGCAAAATAGTTCATACATTAATGTGTACAAACAATGCTGAACCAGCATTAACTCTTATAAACAACAAGGCATGATAGTTTAATTTAAAACAAATATGCTTGGCCAGATAAACCTACTTGTGTTAAAGTTAAAATTGGAATTCTCTGGTATCAATATAGTAATTTATGATTTTTTGGTTCCTCAAATGTATATATATATAAAACCTAAAAAATATTTCATTTCATATCCTCCACATGCAAAATTTTAAAAGGCTTAGCAACCTACGTCGAGCAGCAACCGAGTACAAAGGTCGTAACAAGTCTAACTAGCTTCAGATATACTAGATTATTACTTCTAACTTCACATCCTGGTTAAAATCAGTATCACTAGACTTTCAATATTGACACTACTGTGCCATATTCATGCTTTTAACGTCACATTATCATTGCCAAAAAGAGCACATTGAACATAATAAACTTACAAGAACAAAGTGAGTCAGTGGGAGCAAAGCCATTCCAGACACAGGTTTTAATTCCATGGAAACACCACAAATACGGCCAAATGCAACAAATCAATGTCCTCAACTTTACGCGTCTCTTCAGTTGCAGAAAATTACAAATTTAGGAGCCTTATATCCTGAGCCTCTTTCTCATGTATATTTGTTAAACTCAATCTATTTAAAAGAATATGAAATAATAAGCTCTCTAGTGAGTATGGTAGGCAACTGCAAAATATTCTGATGATCAAATGTTTATTACTTTATTACTGATCCTGCAAGTGTCAGCCTGAAAATCCTGATTTACCCATTGGACAGTGACAGCATCTAATAACATTTGTGTGTCTTAGGCTGAAAACTAATCCAGACCATGTTATTATCCTCCTCGTATAAATGGACAAGAAGTTACACGAAGCAATGTCATTTGGTAGTATGTGTAAAAATTACACTAACCTGAATAGTATACTTGCATTGAGCCAAAGTATTCCACAATTTGATGGTCTTGTCACGAGAACCAGACACTATCTGACGGTTATCAGAAGAAAAAGCCACACTCAGAACATCTTTAGTATGATCTTCAAATCGGCGGGTGGTATTCCCCCTAGAATTAAAAGAACGTACACTTGCTTAACTTTCACCAGTGAAAAAAAAAGAAGATAATTTTAATCTTAAAACTTTTTCATGTAAAATATTCCATACCAAACAGTGCCAATAAAGAACAGTTTTAATCATAGAATTACCAAAGCATCAATTCAATCCAAAAGCCATATGATCTCTTTAAAAAATAAAATAAAAAACTTGATGAAACAGTTTATAACTTTAGTATCTTATGTACAACAAATATTGTATTTTTTATTACGATATTTGTATGAATGTTTGACTTTGGAATTCTTAAGACTTCTGATTTTTTTATAGTTAAAAATGCTTACCTTTGTTCTATATTTCAATAACAAATTTTCATGTCTTCATACATTCTTGTAAAGCTTCATAACAGATATTTATGAAACTAACCCTTGCTATTGATTTCATAAACACAATGTCACAGTGTTTACAATCACTGATACATAACGAAATGTTTTCACCATAGCAAAATAATAAACTAACGAACTTATTAATTGTTAGTAAGAAGTTTTCAATTTCTCACAAGTTCAAAAAAGTTCTAGTAATATAATACAAACCAAAGTTCTATAATTTTTTTGTTCTTATCTCTACACAGTACCTGAAATGGACACCATGTTGGCTTATACAGTAAAAAAAGGGCAGAAAATGAGCTTTCATTATATGTTATATCACTACCTATGATTTCTTAAAGCCAAAATAAGCTATTTACATAATACCACAACTGAAGTTAAGAAAGTGTTGGGATAAAATGGAGAAAACTACACTTGTATTGAAATTACAAGATTCAAAATGATGTAGCTTTGTTCAAAACCACTTTAACTTTTCTTTCTAGGGAGCTAAGACTGCCATATTATGCCCCCCAAAAAATTCACACAAGCTAATGTTTCCATTCAAAGCATATTTAACCCAACCCAAAATAAACTTTTTTTATTGAATAAAGTTCATCACTGAAGAATTAAAAAAATTCTGGAAGAATACCTAGAGGCTTATTTTCTTTGTTTTTAATTCAATGGTGCATCTTTGTTCTTGTATAGGCAGGTGCACCCTATCAGGCACCAAAGGGTTAAAATCACCCATAATTTTTAAGGAAATCATCAATTCACCTCTTGTACTCATGTGAATGACAAAAAAAAGTTTAATAAAAATAAAATTCATTAATATTACTCCTGGAGTACTCTTTTTTTTTTTACAGAAATTTCAAATGATTTAATCCACCTGTTTTAGTTTTTCAATTTAAAATTATTTATTTAGGATACAATGTGTTCACCTCACCAGTAATGAATGGTATAAAAACAAACTGATTTGAGGGTTAACAACAACCTTTTGAATAATACAATATTAAAAGAAAACAAGCACATTTTGATTAATCTTACAGCAATCACTAAAACAGTATATCCATGAATGCCTATATATTCTTCCAAATTTATATTTGTTTTATTCATATGTTCAGCTAATTTGAAATTAATGTGCCAAGTAGCATTTCATAGTAGGATATCTAAACTACATTGTTCAGTTACCACTTGATCACCATACAGATAAAATTTAAGAACAGAGGATCTATTAGTTTATCTAGACCATTCCATTCACTAGGTTTAAAAAAAAAACCCTTAAAGCCAGCCCTTATTCAAACATTTATCCATTCTTCCTTTAACCCTTTTGAGGCAGGTCACAGGTGAAAGGCCATGTCATCTCCTCTGTTGACTCGCATTCAAAATTTTTTTGATCTACTATTTCATGAATTTATGTCAGTAAGTTTGGTATCAAACTAGGTTATAATTCAAATTTTAAAACTATACATTACTTAATTTGTCAATTTAAAAGTAAATATTAAAAAACACAGATAAACATTGATTCAAATTAGATGTTTGTGATTGTTTGTTTGTTTTTAATTATGCACAAAGCTATGCCCACCACTGGTATCAAAACCCGGTTTCATACAAATTAGAAACTAATTACAGATATTGACAAGCTAGAATATAAAATAAGAAGGTTTTATCTTTTCTATTTGCTAAGATATTGCTCATATCAAACACAGTGGCACCCCTCCATTCCATTTTTGGAAACGCTCCCTCATATACACTTTCTTCTATATATGACATGAATAACCAATCGAAGCTCAGAATGTCCCCTAGTGGTTTTATCAGCCTTTTTAATGTTCCTTCCTGGCATTTCTTTCTTTCAACCAACATTTCATTTTTTAGACCCAAATACAGCTTAGTTACTAAGCTTGATAAATTATAGTAGAATTCTATGGTATTGATGTAGTAATTTATGATTTTTTTTAGTTATTCAAAAGTATATATAAAACCTAAACAAATATTTTGTTTCATATCCTCCAAGTGCAAATTTTTTAAAGGCTTAGAAACCTACATCAAGCAGCAACCGAGTACAAAGGTCGTAACTAAAAGAAATAATTGTTTGCTTTACTTCTTTATTTACTGTTCTATGTTTTAGGAAAAATAATATTAAGAACTTATTTACAAAAGAGACAATAATCTATATACATATATAATGTATAATAATTGAAATGTGACTATTTCACAAAATACCAGTCGACTAAAACAGAGCCAAGACGAGTTACTTTGTACAGACCAAGTAACATGTGTGCACGTAAGCCACGTCATTGTAACTTCTGTATTGTTAGCCAGGCACGTGTGAAAGGTCAATTTAATAAAAATAATAAATATATATAGATGTGTAATGTTATGAGAATTTAAGCTATTTCGTCTAAACATTTATGTTTATTTCCTAATTTTTTATGGTGGTTGCGAGATCAGTCAAATCTACAGAACCCGTAGAGAGATTAATTACTGAAAATAACAGATAAAATATAAAGTTTTTTCTTAAGAAATGTTTGATAACTATCCAAACATTATAGAGATTTCGCATGTGAAATTTGAAAATTTTCTGATGCATAAAAGTAATTTTAATCTTAAAAAGAAAATTACTTTGCATGATAGATAGGCAAGATGTGAAAAAAAGGCATGAAAGAAACATTGCTTTACAAACCTCAAGACTTAATAAAAAAAAATGAGATATTTTGCATATGAAAGCATTGTAATGTTTACTGATAATCAGACAAATTTCATTAACACTTGCTTACTAATTAAAAAGTTATAGCATGAAAACTATAACAAGCACAAAATTGTTACTGAGGTCTGTCCAAGGGACCGAGCCAGGGCTGAAAGATGCTTCAAAATTCACAGCAATCACCACATCTGTAGGCAACCCATTCTAAAGGTAGGGATTCCCCAAGAATTACAGTTCTTGGCCAGAGAAGTGTCCGAGTGACCAGTTGCAGTTGCAAATATTTAAATCACTCATAATCAAAATACTAAATTATGGTACACCAAATAGCTCGTTGTGTACATTTGTGTTACACTGTTCTGTTTTGCTGTTTCTATATATTATTTATGTTTAGTAAGTATGTTTAGATTAATCAACAATTTTATGCTATAGAATGGTGACTTTTAAATACAAGATTTGTTTTCTTAATTCAGCTTCAGTTCTTTTAATTTGCTACAAAAGGGTGTTCCTGCAATGTAAACTTACTGGATATAGCTATACCAGTAATGCTTGTAGCATAAAATGTGTACATAAACATTTTGCATTTAAAATATAGACACAATTATTGTTCCATACAAGATATATTACCTACATGTGAATGTTGTATTTTTCATTTATATGGAGTAGATGTAAAATAAGTTCCGTTTCAATTTCACACAAGGCTACATGAGAGCTATCTACACTAGCCATCCCTAATTTAGCAATGATAGGCTAGAGAGAAGGCAGCTAGTCAACTCCACCCACTGCCAAATCTTAGGCTACTCTTTCTACCAATGAATAGTGGGATTGACCATCACATTATACCATACTCACACAACAGTTGAAAGGGTGAAAATGTTCAGTGATGGGGATTTGAACACATGACCCACAGATTGCAAATCAAGGACCTTAACTCGTTCAACCCGGGCTCGGACCATGGGACTAACCTTGTAACTATTTTGTGCTTTTTATAACTTTTAAGTTAGTAAGTAAATGTTAACCAAATTTGGCAATTTATCAGTAAACATTACAATGCTTTCATTTGCAAAATATCTAATTTTT